AGTGACTGAAGATGGAGAAGGACTGGGCAACATGTCATTCTGTTGTGCATGGGATGGCCATGGGTCAGAGCTGACTTGATGGCCACTAACAACAACAACAATAACAACAAGTGCTATGAAAGAAGGCAGCCGGGCACCCAGAGAACAGGGAGATGAAAGGGCCTTTCCAGCTGCAAAACATTTAGCAGAACATTTGCTAACATTCCACAGGTCTCAGATTTCTTTAAGACACTGCCCAGATGGTTCATAAACAGGTAAGGCAAAAACAGAAGCTGGATACCTTGTGTAGATTTAAGGTCGGCAGGGGAAGTAGAATATCACACCGAGAACAGCTCCTCAGAATGTCATAGGCTGCCTCATTTCCTACAGGAGAAGTGTTTCTGGGCTTGAGCTCAGACCTCAAAGGCAGATCCAGGGGTTTGCCTTTGCCTCTTCGTACTTGCTTTGTTGAATTTTCAGGAAAAAGAGGAAACCTGTTTATGTTTTTTGTCTTTGGGCGGACATCTTTCTCTGCTGTGAAAGTTTGATTTATAGGAGACTGACTTGGAAGGGATGGTGGAGCATTTCTTGGCTTTCCAAACGGAGACAATTTTGCAAACTCTGAGACTGGACAACATGTTTCCTGCAATACATCAAATTAAAAAAATGCTTTCAGCCTTAATAGTCTGACAATACAGTAGACATGACAACCTGAAAACTTCCCACTACAAACACTTAAAAACTTTAGATAAAATATGACAAACATTCATTTAAGTTCATAGCTGACTTTTCAAGAAACAAAATAAAATTTCCATGTTCCAGGGAAGAAGGTCTGATCAATTAAGTACATAAGCTGGCATTTTGGTTACCAGAGGAGTTGTGAGGCTAATCTTACACCTGAGGGATTGGATGAGAAAAGGTCTCAAACACACAAGGTGGGGAACTGGAGTCAAGACTCCCCTTCCCCTGCATCAAGCTGGCCATTTTGAAGGCTACACTATGGTGACTTAGAGAAAAGAACTGGCTGAGTAGAAAAGGAAAGTCACAATGAATCTTGTGTACCTTGGCCTGAAATTTGAATGTGGCCAAGAAAAACTCATACCCTTAAAAACTCAAAGTCACAGACCCGTTCTTGTGTTTGCAGCTCAGAATTACATTAGCCTTATGATCTGGGAATCCCCAAGCTGAGGAATTAACATAAAAATTGGAATGATTGGCAAAAGAATCACAGAATCCTTCTGGAGGGATACAAGCTCAACCAAAGTCATACAGCATCCTCACAGGCAGAATTGCATGAAATAGAAACTCAAAATCCAAAATTACAGACAAGGAAGCAATCCACCTTGAATGAGAGGCAGACACAACCAATAGCAGGGTTAGTTCCAAAAAGTTCAGATAATAGAGCTATAGAATAGAGACTACAAAAGAAATTAATTTAAAATGATTAAAGACGTTAAAGAATGAATGGAAAATAAGAGAAAAGAATATGGTTCTATGAAAAAGAATAGGCAAATTTGAAAGAGAAAGAAATAGAATTTCTAGAAATGAAAAATGTATTGAATGCATTGAATTAAAATCTGAATGGATGAGTTAAAATTGCAGATTAGATTCAGCTAAGAAAGAATGAACTTAGAAATAAATTTGAAGAAATTTCCAAGAATATGGGAGAGAGAAAGAAAGAGATAGAAAATGTAAAAGATTAAGAGACATAAGGCTAGCATGAGAAGGCCTAATATATACAATACACTCTAGAGAGAGAATTGGGAGAATGTGGGGAGGCAGGATTCAAAGAGATAAAGCTGATAATTTTTCAAAATTTATTAAAGACAGAAATCTTTAGGAAGGAGAAATCACAGGAGAAAGAAATAATCAGCCACATTTGAGCACATTGTTCTGAGCAGGATGAACAAAATTAATCTACTCTTCAGTACTTCGCAGTGAAAATACAGAAGATCAAAGGCAATGAGGATCTTGAAATCAACCAAAAAAGAGAGATTATTTATGAGGGGATGTCTATTAGACTGAAAGAAGACTTACCAACAGTAATAATACAGCAAAAGACAGTGGAATGATCTTTAAAGAACTAAGAGAAAATAGTTGTTAACCTAGAATTTGATATCCAGCTAAACTACCATTCAGAATGCAGGAGCAAAAAAAAAAAGTACACATTTTCAGACAACTATCGATTTACTACTCACAGTGTCTTACTAAAAGAAATATTGGGAGATGTATTTCAGGAAGAGGGAAGTTTTGCCCAGATGGAGAGCTTAGAATTCAAGAAAGAATACAAGAAAAGGGTAAATATGTGGGTATATAGAAATAGGCATGAATTGCATGAAACAACAATAACAATAATGACAAAAGGGTAGTACAAAAACAAGATGGAACTAAATCCTGGCAGCATTTAAACATAAGATGGGAATAGAGGATCAGCGTTGGTGTGTTCTCAAGTATGTATACTGTTGAGAGGAGTGTAGAGATAGCGATTAATCTTAGACTTTATTAAGTCAAGTATGCATATTAAAACAGTAAGGATAACTACTAAAATAATAGAAGTAAAATTGACAAATCAGAGGATAAGAAGAAAGAAGACAATGAAAACTCACTAAATACAATAAAAAGCAAGAAAGAAAACAGCAGCAACAGCAATGAACAGCATGGTAAAGGGAAAGCCTAAAAAGATGGTGGAAAAGACTTATTGTTCATTTTGTTGAGAGTGATAAAACCATTGTGATCAAGTAAGAAAACTGCCCTACTATAAAGATACATATTGAAGAGTAATAAGTAAAAAGACAGGATACTTAGATTTGCTTCAGCCTTCTGGTTAGCAGTCAAGTGCTTTAGCCACTATGCTACCAGAGCTCCAAAAGAAAACAAAGGAGAGATTAATTTTGATTGTTGTGTTGAGCACATAGGGGTTCATCGTATTAACTCTCTACTGCATTTATTTGAAAATTCATGCAACTAAATTATTTTTTAAAAAATTAAAGTTGTAGATAGATTTGCTTGCCAGATAAGCTATCATTTTCAGATGTGCAAGTTTTTTTTTTATTATTTTTTTAAATTTTATTTTGATTTGCGTGAAGATTTACCGAGTAAATTCACTTTTCATACAGCAGTTCACATAATATACTTTCTCTCATGTCATTGACCAAAATTTATAATGCAACAGCTCCCCTCCCACTTCCTCCCCATCGTTACATCTTCCCAGTGTCCATCCCTCCATACTCTTCTGCGCCCTGAGCTGTCTCCCTGTGCATAAGCAGCCCTTCCTTCTCCCATGATTGTTCTCTCCAGGG